ATTTCAATACAGATAAATGGGCGGATATCTTTCTTAGATCTATGTTTGATCTGTTAAGATATATATAGATATACACACACTTTTATTGCCTCGATCCCTCAAATGCAGTTATCAAACACCTGCGGTAAAGATACAGTATTTAATCAAGACAATATGTCACTCAACTGGAAAGTAACTGCGTATGTACAGGCATCACCGCTTGACCTTCTGGAGGGTGATATTGCTTGTCGTAAAATACAATAAAACTCAAATGATGAATGCTATTTGACTGACTAATAAATCTAGTAATACTGGCACATATCTGTGATCAAATTAGCCGTTATTGATAGTCACCGGGTATGCTAATATCGGCTGCTATTATTGGCTGGCCAATTAATCAGTCGGGCTCTAATCTTAGATTAACAAAATTTAAGAGAACACAGAAACATAGAATGAATTGTGTCAAACAAGCAAGTTTGACAACTGCATGTTACAACATTGTGTATACATTGCCAATACTTCCAACTAATGTTGTCCAATCCCTATGATTAATTTTCAGTCATTTATTGGCCACTACCGGTAATGTGCTCATTTTATTGTGCCTCCCATATTATAATTCCATGTTATGACATTATTAGAGGTGTTAATTCGTCTTTCAGTCAGTCGACCAGAGATAGCCCCTGAAGTATTTAAAAAACATATCTATATGATGGAGTAGTGTACCACCAAGATTAATTGTATATGAAGTGATGACCTGAGGGTAGGTCTGTGTTTGTATTTGTTGTGAATTAAAAACCATAAAAAACTGTTAATCATAAAAATATATATATATATCTGCGATGTTTTGATTTTTTTGATTGCCAACCCAAGTGGCAACAAAAAGCAGCAACCTGACATCTCAAACATGTTTTGTTTTTGTGATATCAAAAGCAATGTCAAAACGCACTTGTTACCATACTGTTATACCACGCTTTGAGTCAACTGGGTCCTGACATTGTTTTCATTGATACATCTATATGCCAGCACATCTCAGCATGCTGTCAGAGACATGAGTGGATGCATGAGGCTCTTCCTTTACTGTTATCATCCCTGTATCACTGTATCACTGTGTTTGTTTCTAGATGATTTACAGCCTGATTTGAAATGCAACTTCCTGACACACTATTTTGCTGAGGCAATTGATGTGACAATAGGTGATTCTACAGGGTTGGACAGGGAGACATTAAAAGCCCACAGTATTGCCTTTATTTCAGGCAGCCCTTACATATGCCATGCTAACTCATCACAGGTGCTCCCATTCAGGTCCAGCCCCCCCCCCCCCCCCCCCCCCCCACCGTTAACTATTCATCAGCCTGGGAGTTTGACATGGCTACACACAGTCTTTTATCTCGGTACGGCTCCCAGAAGGCTCTAAATCACAGAGAATGGAGGTACGCTGTTCGTAGCACTGCGGTGACTGCAGGTCAGCACCACCAAGATATTCATAGCTGTGATGGATGTCCAGCCTCTTTGGGCTGCTCTGGTTGAGCAGAGCAGGCTCTGTTTTCTCTTTTCACTGCTTCACTGTTAGGAGTTAACTGAATATCATGAAATTGATGTTTACAGTACAGGTCAATGAAAGCCACAGAGTTGTTGGAGTTTGTAAAATCTCACGTGCACATGTGAAGTAAAAACGTTTTATTTACGTTATTGTAAGAGAACCAGTCCTGGTACATTTGAAGCAAATGTAATAATATTTTTTATCCTAATGCACTCTGCAGGGACCCTTTGTAATTGGCTGTATTTATTAGGGTTTTTCTATTGATTCTTTCAAAATAGTATGCCTGACATATCTCTCCCCCCGCAGCGAAGAGAGGAACAATCTGAGATTGTCACAGTGACGGAGTAATTACAGAGTAATTACACAGATGTAGCAAGAATTGGATTGGAATTCTAGGCAAGGTGTCACCCAGAGACAATGCTTGAAGGGTTTGCGAGCAGATTAAAGCGCTGTGAGGTCAGTGTTGTGCAGAGACTGGGAGGACAGTACAGTGGGGAATTTTAATATAAATGTAAAACAGTCCAGGAGCCACAAACAAGAGCTGTTCTATTTATTTTGAGGCTGACACTTCAAGGCAAGCACATAGATACACAAGTGCTTCAACACACACACAGCAGACAGCCGCTCTCTAAACAGGATATGGCTTACACGGTCAGCCTGTTGATGATTGCTTCACTGTCTCAACAGACCCTTGTTTTTGATTGGCTTCTTGTCGAGCACTGCATGATGCAACAAACAAAACGTCAGTTGGCTCCAAATAAACGGCATTTGCCAAACAGTTTTGTTTCATTGTTTTATCGTTGACACAGGCTAACCTTTTCCAAGCACTTTTTGAAAACCATTTCCTCCCTGTCAGAGTTTCTAGGTGGCTTCAAGCTTAGTAAGGATGACTCCAATGATGCAAGTCTTTAAAGGATTCTGCATTTTTTTCAGTCACATTAGCAGCTTGAGTCTCAGGAAATATGTTAAGACTTTTACACATTTTTTTCCATCATGAACTTTTGTTTTTGAACTATTGGATGTATTTCTTTATATCTTTGTAAAGACCTCCCCCTCTCCCCCAGGACAGACCCTGATGTCTTAATTGATCCTCCACATTTCATCACTAACACAGCTACATTTTCTTTGTAAACTTATTTATGTAAATATTTTTGATATTGTTAGCCCTTTCATTTAGCTCAATGCACCATTTTGCCCATTACTACCTTGATGCATTGGCATAGCTGTAGAAGTCTAGTTTTATATACAGTATATACATAAAGCACAACTCCAATTTATAATGTACAATACATTTATTTTTTGATCTGTGCATCACATATTTCCTGAAAACTTTCCTATTCTCTCTCTTTTATGAAGACTCAAGTTATCCTAAATGTCTCTGTCATATTTAGTGACAAGAGGTGACATACCATTTACTAATGGAAATACCAGGGTGGAGTGCTTTTCTCTCCATTTTCTCCTAAAGTTTCTGCTATTGTCCTTGCTTTTTTCTTTTTCATTTTCTTGTTAAAAAATCTGTTCATGGAGTTTACTGCTGATGGTATTTGTGGTGCTGCCCTGTTCTGCCTTATTATCCAAACAACTTCACAGCAGGCTGTGTCCTGCTGCATAATATGACCTGCTGCCTCTGAAACTACTACTTTGAGAGCTGTTTGCACTGCAACCTCTAAACATCCACTGGAATTTCAGTATTTTTGTTGTCAAACTAAATGTACTAATATTAAAGATGGATTGATTTTATCACTTACTGTAGTTGGGACAAAACATTAGTGATGCACTGATTGAAATGTCTTTGGCCGATTCTGATTTCTACCTTGTCTGGTTGATACCAGCTTTTGGCCGATAACAATTTTCTTTCTTCAAAGCACTATAATTGACAGCAAAACCGAAGTTAATTGGAAATTAATGTAATGTTCATAATAAAACACTGACTGTTAAGTAACAGTTTTCCTGCACCAGGTTACATGACCATCTCTCATTTTCACTCAAACTGATCTACTCTAGAACATTTTGAGTGACAAACCCTTTATTACCTGTATTCTCCATTATTATGATGCAGTTATTTATGGTTAAAGTGTCTGTATATATGTAAGGGAAAATAAAAAAAGAGGTTTTCAATTATGTTTTAAATAAAAAAATAAATCACATTCTCTGCATACATTTTTCACTATCTAGAAAGATTCAAACAACCATTATTAACACTCTTTACTCCTATATGTTGTAACTTAATGATAAATCAAATGATAGAAATAGTGAAGTTTACTGCTTCTCTCTCTTCAGCTGAATTCTCATGAGTGGCTCCTGAAGAAATCATGACTTGCAGACTCTCACCTGTCTGCCTCTGTGAACAGTATTTGTCGTTTTAAAATAAAATTTAATCCCTTAATTATTAACGTCTATCTATGATATTTTCTGCAAAGTGACACTTTTCACACTGGGTCTAACTTTTTAATAACATGCTCATACACTGTGGTTTAATCGTGTAAGTGTCCCACTGTAACCAATAAACATTAGGTGAATATTAAATAATATTTGAATGTGCTGCGTTTCCTCAGCCCGTGGGGAAGAAAGCGGAAGCATGCTCATTCATAGGGGCATGATCCATCATGGGCAGAGAGGTTACTTTAAGACAAGAGGAGCAAGTGCAGGGACACTATCTCTGTTTATCCTCCTGTATGTTCAAAGTTTTTCTCCTCTGCTGATGGGCACCAAACTGTTCACTTGTGTGTGTGGCCATTCCTTCACGTTTGTGTCGCTGTGCGCACGACATGAAACTGCTTGTGTGTGGGACTCCATATTATATATGGGGTATAGTTGTGTGGACACGGTCACGGCCGAGAAGGACAGAGACATTTTAGTCCCCCACCAATAAAAATAATTTTACAAGTTAGTTTGTTGAATACAAGGTTTAGTGTCACTGTTTCTAATACTGCAATTTCACCATCCCTGGTTTGATTCCTGCTCCCAAACCTTGTTGGATATGTCTCCCTAACTTTCTGTCTAAGTCTCTACTCTCACTATTTGAAGCAAAATATCTTTCCAAAAATCGTCAATACTTTAGTTAGACCGTTCACAGTATCCTACTCAAAGCTAGCTAACTTTATTATCACTTAAAATCCTGCTTGATTTTTGCGGTGAAGCAATGGAGTAGCTGTCTCCTTTGGGAAGGCATCGAACACACTAAAAGACTTTTCTTTCAAAAATCAGTTTTTTGTTATTTTGTGTGGACTACACAATGTGTAGGTCACAAAGGATGTTGCTTACACTGTCAGACAGTTTGTGTTTCAAATATTTTTTTTTAATCATATTCTTATTCATGCTGTCACTTCAATGACTGGATCATGTATGAATAAATGTATGCTATTAATATTAACAGAGAAGTGCCATAGAGATGTCCTGTAGAAAAAAAACAAGCCCTTCTTCATTTTGTTCCTCTTTTTGTGAATCATCTCACACTTCATCTCCTCTCTTCCTTCTGCAGTTCTAGATATGGCACGACATGTGCCTCTATATCGGGCACTACTGGAGCTACTGAGGGCCATTTCTACCTGCACAGCGCTGGTTCCTCTGCTGCTGCCTCTCTCTGGAGACCCCGGGGAGGATGAGGAGGAAGAGGATGAAGAAAGCTCAGAGGGACAGACCTCTGTTGGGATGCTGCTGGCCAAGATGAAGACATGTGTGGACACATACACCAATCGCCTCAGGTGAGATGGAAAAAACACTTAAGCCCTTAGTGATTAACAGGATAATTTAGATTCATGGGGATAGATTGTAAAATTAAAATCTGAATGTTGAGCAATTGAATACAATTATACAAGATTATTGTGTCTTTTCGGATAACCCCAACATATCACATTTAAGGACTAATGTGTCATTTAACACTTTGATCAAATCAAGAACTCGTCACTCTAATATCGTTCATTCTCCCTCTCCCTGCAAAACGGCTGAACTGGGAGTCTCAACATGTATAGCCAGGTGTAAACGTGGCATTAAAATGTATCCAGGGTGACCTGAATGTACCCCAAGAGGCATCGAGATACATTTAGATTCAGTCTCTAAGCTGCTTTTGGAGGTGGTCAGGGACACGTGTCAAGAAATATATGACGTGTTTTATTGTTGCTGGAAAAGGCTTTAGCCTCAGCAGAAAATAAGCAATACTTTTACTTTGCATTATACACACACACACACACATTTTCCCATGTGAGCTTACTTCCTTACAGCTCTGGTAAACTTCCTGACAACATGTTTTACTCAGGTTGACATACTGTACATGCACACTGCATACATACATGGCAAAGTGCCTGATAATGTATGATCTTCCTGATGGTATTTTTAGAAAATGCATGTTATAAATGTTGCAGCAGCCATCCCATGGCAGCATGGTTCATTTAAGGTATTACATGCAAAAAACCTTAACTTTGCTCAAATGTCTTTGAGACTTAGGCTTTCATACTAAATGATTAGCTGCTGTATTTGCAAAACGAGCAAGTTTCTTTGATATAATGCACACTTACAAATATTGTAAGTAATATTATCTAAGTCCAGGTGCGTACTGTGGCATTTTTGCTTAAATAATGGATCCCATGCTATTCTGAATTCTATCAGTTTAAAGGATTATGCAAACCACAGCGTGATCTGGGCCACACGCTGACCTCTGCATTTTGAAATGACTAGGAAAAGGAGGTGGCTAAACCTATTTGAAATGACTTCCGGCAAAGAAATATATCCTTGCAAACTATAACCCAGTATTGCGAACTGACTTAATGTATATTTGTGTGTTCCAGGTCAAAGAAAGATAAGAGTAAAGGTGTGGTGAAGTCAGACAGCTCCGATCCAGAGCCTGAGGGTTTGACTTTGCTCGTTCCTGACATCCAGAGGACAGCTGAGATAGTCTACGCTGCAACCACCAGCCTGCGGCAGGCCAACCAGGGTACGTTTACAACACACTGTGGAATCTTTCTCATATCATAGCCTCTTGGGTTACAGTAGCTATACAGACTAACATCAGTACATTTGAACTCAAATACAAACCCAGTTTCATATCAAATGTGTTCTTAGTCAGACTTTTAAGCTTTTACATTTAAGAAAGTGCTGACATCATTTTGTGTCCTTGCTTCCCCCCTGACTTAAAAAACCTTGGCTGGCATCCAGTGGTTTTTTATTTCCCTTCTCTCAACTTGATCTGAATAATTCCAGCGCTTCATAATTCTCAATCAATTCATCCTCATGCCCTCATCTGTTGTCTTTGTCCTGCCCCGGAAGGACAAGAAAATAGGTTCTCTAAGCTGAACAAAAAGTCTGAATTCCCTCAACTGTGATTGATTCTGCCCTGAAATGTAATCTTAGGATGCTATCGGCCCATTTTTTGAAAGTATAACTTGATTTAACTGTCTCAAGATTAGAACTAGGCAATGTCTGAAAGTCCTTCTGATGTAACATATGTAACTTACTCTTGGACTCTGTAATGGACTGTGCCAGCAGCTTTTTACTCCTTTATTTCAGATCAGTGCTATACACAACTCTCATATCAGCCTATAGAACAACATGTTTAGCCTGTAAGAGGTATGCTGGCTGTCAGGTGGATGACTCAAACATTGAAACTCCATTTGTTTTCCCCCAAAAATGGCTTAAAAACAGCATATCAATTGTTTATTCTGAGAACTTCATTGCTTTTGGAAAGTTATTTTCCCAATTTTAATTTGATGCTGACAACATGTTTTAAAAAAGCTATTCAAGTGGCTACAAATGAATGACTGGAAAAGTTGAGAAAAACGCCAGCAATACAAACAGTGCAGCATGATCTCGCCGCCTGGTCCAATGAACAACTCAGTTAATGAGGTTGACTAGCAACAGGCAAAAGAAAGCATCTCTCATGCTATGTTCATGTGTACATACAGCATGTGTAACCTGCACATTTTTGAACTCATCATTTAATGATAAACCATATATACAGGTTGTGGATTTAGATCAAATCTTTTGATCAGCCTTCTGAACGTATGACACCAGCATGGCTCTGGAGTAAAGAGTCCAGGTGATGAACTGGACTCCCAGCAGTCCCTTCTTGTCACCCATTACAAATTTTGGAGCATTATGAGGCATACATTAAGACAAAGGAGAACCTGAGCTGTTGAACAGCTTAAAACCTAAAGCAAGAATGGTAAAACATTCCACTTTCAAAATAAGTGTTTGTTCTAAAACGCTTAAAAAATTTTTTTTTTAAAAAGCGTTGTTAAAAGAAAAAGTGATGTAACAGAGTGGTAAACATGACGACCCTGTCCCAACTTTTTTTGAAACATGTTGCTGGCATCAAATTCAGAACAGGCATACATTTTCCAAGACAATGATATTTCTCAATTTCAACATTTGATAGGTTGTGTATTTCAAATTTAAATTAAATATGTGGTTTCAAGGTTTTGCTAATCATCTAATTTTTTTGTTTCAATTTTTTTGCATATTACACAGCGTCCCAACTAAAAACAAAAGTCCAGATATGTCCCTATAACTGTTTAGGGAGAGGTTTAGACCGTGCACTCCTAATGTCCTGTCTTTAAAATTGTTTCACCAATTTAATGTATTTTCTAACTCCCATCATTCCTGATGGACAGATGTGACCCAAGATTGAATCTGTACAGTGTGCATTATAACTCGTGTTGTAGATGGAGAAACAAAGACAGAAAGCAGACTCTTCTAGCTTGCCAATATTCACCTAAAGAAATCAGCGCCATCAATAAAATGTCTGCTGCATGATGAAGCATTACACCTCCCCCATTACCTTGTTGCTACACAGTACACTTTATTAATCATCTCCCACCCGCCCATTTCTTCTAGCTCCCTCCAGAGAGTTTTTTACGCTCACTCCCCATAAATAGTGCCTAACTGATCGCTTAAGACAGAGGGACAACTGTTAAATCTGCTGGTAGTGTGCACGTAGTGTAGGGGGTTATGGGTAATGATCAATCTCACTTCATATGAACAAATCCATATGATAAAAGGTTTCTGGAATCACACCCTGCACAACTGTGAGGGCCATGACCGATGCATAATCATTTAATTGGTGCATGGGCTTTAAGAAATATATCTCTGAGAGAAGCCATGATCAGAGCAGAGCAAGACGATATCGAGTGAGGAGAGGACGTATTAATCTGGAGCATCGATGTCCCTGAACTTACTGACGGGCCAAATAAATGAGGATGTAAACACTCTTGTGCACTCCTATATGCACCTCTTCCATTTCTGGATTGCACACACCTTATTCTTGACCTTGGAAAAATATTAGTATGACATTTACCATCAGTCCTTTTTTTTTTTCATGAGGGAAATTCACTACTACGCAGAGAGCATGCCCAGGCGTGTTGGGGGTTCGGTGCCTTGCTCAAGGGCACTTTGCCAGTACTCACGAAGTAAACTGGCACTTCTCCTAGCTACCAGACCAATATCCATATTTTTGTTCTGCACTAGAACTTGAACCGGCGACCCTCCGGTTCCCAATACAAGTCCCTTCAGACTAAGTTACTGGTAGTGTTAAACATACTATACTAACATATTATAGCTGATACAAATGTTATATGTTGTAGGCCAACATGGGACAAGAACATCCCCAGAAAGTTATATTTGTTGGGCTCTTGCAGAAATGTCCAAAGGTTATGATATTATTTGACCATAGTAGTTAGATTTATGAATCAACACTTAATGCAACACACAATGAAACTTGTCAAAAGTATTAGAAAGAACATCTAGAAGTTATAACTTTTCATTGCACAAGATAAATGGCAAACTACAGTAAGTCAGAAGGTCAAGTTAGCCATGGTGTCAATCTTTAATCTTTGATTGATGGGTACAAGAGAAGTGTGGCTAAGGATCTGCAGCTTGTGTTCTCTCTCAGAGACGTTTGGCTTTTCTAGTTGTTTCATTTGCAACCTGTCTGGTTGTCTTATTGTGCTCACTTCTCCTTCTGACTTTCACCAACTCCTAATATTTTACATTTTAATGTAAACATAAATGATGATGGAATTTTTTCCCCCCAGCTTTAGATATTTATAAATTATTTTACCAAACCTTACACAGACATGCTGTGTGGGAAAGCCTTTTTTATGCCACCCTTACATTGCTTGTAAAGATTGTGTGTATTTGACAAAGATTAGTGCAAAGATTGCAGCCAGTTTCCTGCTGATGTGATTCGTCAGATAAATATCCCTGTGGCAGGTTGTCCTTAAAGGATTTTCACAAGGGACGACTTTCTACATCGTCTCTGCAATGGTTACTCTCTGAATGCCTTCCACTTTGCTCTTTGTTCATTCTTATCTTCACGATTTATGTCTCCCATCCCAGAGAGGAGGCTGGTGGAGTCTTCAAAGAAGGTGTCAAGTCGCCCCAAGCCGCTGTCCATTCTACGCTCTTTAGAGGAAAAATACGTTGCTGCCATGAAGAAGCTGCAGTTTGGTGAGTTTGAGTAATATTATTTGGATATTTCCAACATTCATGATTAAACATTAGGTTTTTTCCCAGACATAACATGTGCTTTGTGCTCATGCTTTGGAGCATCTGTACCAGGGCTGTACCATATTGGAAAAACTGACATTGCAATATTTTTTTCTTTCTGCAACACATATTGTGATATTAAAGGTCACGTATACTCCTTTTCAACACGTTTAAATAAGTCTCAAAACAGGTCTTTGAAGTTTCTTGTCATAAATCCACTCTGATCTTGTATTTTAGCATGACTTTAAACCCCTCTATGTCATCCCTGATCAGAACAGGCTGTTTCTGTGTCTGTACCTTTAAATGCAATTGAGCTGTGTTCAACCACGCCCCTCTAGAAGGGCTTTGGGTGGCTTGTGCTTTCTTGCACTTTGTCCAATAGTTAACGGTGAAAAGATGCACTCAGAGGGCAGAACAAACACCTAGCTGTGGGAGTGTCGCCCACCTGGGGGAGCGGTTACTGCCCTTTGTGATGTCATTAAGGGAAAATCTCCAAACGGCCTGTTTGAGCACACGTTTTCTAAAGAATGGAGCAGGGTAAAGAAAAGAGGGGATGGACTTTTCTCATCAGTGGGGGGTTTGTAGACAGACTCGATACACATATTAGTGTTTGAAAAACACAGTGAAGTTTATTTTGCACAATATGTGACTTTAAGATAATGCCGTAATATATACCAGACAAATGCAGTGCGTTTTTTATGCACATACAATTCCAATTTCAATCATGCAATCCCAAAATATGTTATTTGAGTCTCTGTGACTAGTTTCTTCTTTGGAATCACAACCCTCTCCTAATTTTACAACACTTGGTTCAGCCCTCTGACACACAGTGGAGTGGAGTTATACAGAGACAACATGTGGAGAGAGAACTGGTGGAGCGACACTTTTCTACACATAAACATTAATCGTTTTTGCATGAGCAAAGTGCAATTGCTATCGTTAGATATAATATCTTTAATGGCCTATTTGTTTAACTTTGTACACACGTAAAGCAAAGCAGGAACCTTGACAAAATCCCCCACTTCCTAAGTACACACAATCCTCTGTCTCCATCTCCTGTCTGATATGATCCATAATGCCTTCACTGCCAGAGCTCTGAAAGAGGAGCAGACTCAGGCTACAGTCTTATCCTGCCTATCCCTTTAGTCTTGTCCATCACTCTCCATTAGACCATGTCATGATTAATTACACCACTTTTGCTGTCTTGTAATTGATTTTGTATGCAGCTTGATGTTTGAAGTCATCGCAAGTGACTCGACTGTCAACCGTATTGTTTCAGTGTGGACAGAAAAGTCAGGAGACATTATGGGCTCCACTTTAACCTACTTTATCTGCTCTAGTGTTTCATCTCTATTATATCGCAGGGCAAAATGTCTGTTTGCTGTAAGAGTGATTAAAAAGTGTAAGTGGACCTGTGTAGTTTTATTAATGGTAAATCTAAAATACAGTCTGGTGAGCCTGATGTAAAACTACATCAGAAGAGCAAAGCACACACAGCGTTAAATATGACACTTTTCATTATTAGCCTATTTTTTTAAATTGAGAACTGTAATCGTAATAGTGCATTGGAGAAGGCTGTCATTGCATGAATAAAGCTTGATGGTGACGTAATATTTGGTGGCCCTAGAAGAGCTTCTTTTACCCACAGGCTGTCAGGCAGTGGTTAATGTTAAACTCATTCTGGCCCTTTATCCACTAAGCTTGCACTAGTTCTGTGTTTTGACAGCAAAAGAACTGGCTCTGGGCCAAAAAAAAAAAAAACGGTTCAAGTCCAACTACCTGCTGGTCTACAAGAAAGCACCGCTTATGTCGGGGGCTGGGGGTGGGGTTTTCTTGATCAATAAAGAAGCATGCAAAACTTTGTTGTCACCACCTGGGGGATAGACCTGTTAACATTTATTTTTTGGTGACGTAATGACGAGGCTCTTTTGCGTTTAGACAGTTCACCAGTTTAACCAGCTCTGCACCGGCACCTAGCACCACAATCTTAACAGTTTACTCAATCTGATCTTGTTGTCTTTCCAGACACCTTTGAAATGGTCTCAGAGGACGAGGACGGGAAAGTGATGTTCAAGGTCAACTACCACTACATGTCTCAGGTGAAGAACGCCAGCGATACAAACAGTGCAGCCCGATCCCGTCGCCTGGCCCAGGAAGCCGTCACCCTGTCCACCTCTTTGCCCCTGTCATCCTTTTCCAGTGTCTTTGTCCGCTGCGATGAGGAGAGACTTGACATCATGAAGGTAGAGTTCTACTTCAACTTTTCTTCAGCTGTGTTAGGCCCAACATGCTGATGTGACATGGAGTTAAACTTACTGTTGAATGACCATTGTACAAATCAACATGTAAGGTGTCAGTGTTGTGACATCATTCATGTTGATTTGTAAGGTGCTGTACTCTGGTATAAATATAAACCACTATTTTTCAGAAGTGAGTCAGACTGCTGGAACACGTGTGTCTTCTATAAGGATGTTGTGTATAGGATGACAGCATCTGGAGTTTCTATCGTAGGGACCTGTCATCGACGGCTCTTACTCATTCCCCTAGTGACATTTCATAAATTGCTCTCACCCCACAAGTTAATTAAAGGCGACGTCTCCTTCGCTAAATGTCAAAATCCATACTCTTTACCTCCGTTTTTTGGGGTTCAGAAGAACTCTTTAAAGCAAATCAGTAACTAAAGTGAAGTCAGAAACAAACTAATATAAGAATCACCCTTTACAACCATCAAATTAAGAACATCTTTACTGGGGTCAGGTCAGTATACGCTCTTAAAGTCTCTAAGTGAGAAATTACTACAACCTAGCAAAGTAAATAATGAGGTGGTCATAAACTGTACACATCCTTGAACAAGTTTTAAAAGCAGGATGCCAAATACTGCATTTTAACGTTTGAGCAGAGACCTTGAAGCAGAAGTAATTTTGTTTTTTATAAAGTACACGTAATAGTTTTTTAGGACGTGGTACCAAAGTCAGGTTAAAAAGAAAAGATCTTTGCCCTCAGCCAGCAGTCCTGTCACAGCAATGCACCGTTTTGTTATGTGAACATGTTCATACAAACCTACCAAAATTAACTTTACCAAGAAAAGCATCGCCTCAGGGGCAGCATCAGCAGAAAGGGACAGTGGTTGCTGAGGTGGAAATTTCATGATCTGTGAGGGGTCAGTACTTCCTTGTGCCTCGCCCCTGCATCCTTCCATTAGCACCAAATGAGCCTCGTGCATATACTCCACCCTGTGACTGCGGCACGTTGGTTACAGACGTGAAATGCTTCCCCACCAGATTTGACCAATTTTGGTTGGAAGTGCGATAAAAGTGTCGGGCCTGACTGTTCATGTCAAAATAAACTTAATGCATGAATGGTGCTCAGCGCCCTTAAGAAATATTGCAAGTGTTGTTGCCAAGTCATCTCAGTGTTACAAACCCTGACAGCACCACTCAAGACCAATGTAGTGGTTTAGACAAGTGTCAGGATGTTTGCATCCCCCTGAATGAACAACACATCCATACTGCATCACCACATAGTGTCCTATAGCGCGCCGGCAGGCCTTGCAAGCTGTCAGCTGTGTATCAATCAATCAATCAATCAATCTTTATCTTCCTCTTTGTTATTTAATATTACAAAAGAGCAGGTAAAAAGACTTTACTCATTGCTATATTACAAAGACCCAGCGTTAATCCATCATGAGCACTTTAGCAACAATTTAGCAAAAGTAACAGTGACAAGAAAAAACGCCCTTTTAGAGCAGAAATCTTGGGCAAATCCAGGCTCATGATGAACAGCCATCTATCGAAACTGCGCCAGGCTTGAAAATGGTAAAGGGGGAGAAGGGACAAGATCGGGACAACGATCCTGAGGAACCTAAGAGAGCTGAGGAGCTGTGTAGCAGTCAGCTTCAACCATTGTCCTAAAAGACTCATCAGTTGTGACTGAATAATAAGGGGTCCAAGATGTTTAAACCATGTGGGGTTGTTCCCACAGTGAGAGTCTTCAGTGCACATTGAGGTTGTCAAAGATGTCGATACTTGAATTATTTTTGATACAGCGTGTTTTTAAACGTTAAAATTAAAAAACAAAACAAAAAATTAAAAGGGTTCAGATCTTCATATTGTTCTTCAAATGCTGCTGCAAGTTAAAGAGGGAGACAGATGTTTCTCAGGTCCCTTTGCCGTCTCATAAAGATGCATAAGTGACTTTTATGTCTCTTAGGAACAGACAAGGATGTGACGCTGTCTAAATTGCACAACAGCATTGCTGAATCGTGTTCAGGAGTTCTTGCAATTTTTGTGAATTTAAAAACAAGTAAATACTCAATGTTGTGTGCTTAGGACCCCCATTTTTGTTCCCCTGGTATTGAAACGGGGTTAGATATTATTTGTTTTTAAACTGCTTTCATCTTGAAGTTTAGAAATTTGAGTATCTTGACAACACCAGTGCACATTGCTGCTTACTGTTCTTCATGGTTTTTCCCCAACTACACAGCATGAGAAAAAATGGCTTTTCAGCAGCTCATTCTTAAATACAAAACACTTAAAACCTTCCTGCTAATAAGGTTCTCAGTGTTTTTTTTAATGAAATATATATTTTTCTTTGTAGTATTTAACTTTTAAGATTTATTCACATTGAAATCCCGATCCTTATTATAGTTCTAAGTGCTTGTGTGTATTTGATGAATTAGCTAATTTCATTTAGTGAGATAATAAATAGTTTATTCTACAAATGCCATGAGCACTGCAGATAGAACTGGTCTTTTTCTCTCAGCAAATTTCACCCTTAAGCCTTGTTGTTAATTACATTGTTGTTGCAGTGGAAAATACTGAAATAGACTCGGCACCATTTCTTCATTAATATTTTGCCTTTTGGCCTTTGTTTAATCCACATTTACTGTTATCAGTGCGCACACCTTTCTTTAATTAACCCTTGTTCAGTGAGTGATTAACAACTACCCTTCCTCAGGCTGTGTGTATTAAAGCCTCCCTCCTCCTCTCTGTGTTTTAAGGTTCTAATCACAGGCCCGGCCGACACACCTTACGCCAACGGCTGCTTCGAGTTCGATGTGTACTTTCCTCAAGACTATCCCAACTCGCCTCCACTGGTCAACCTGGAGACAACCGGTGGACACAGTGTGCGCTTTAACCCTAACCTCTACAATGATGGCAAAGTAAGTTCAAAAGGAACCTTAGATAACATTCACATGTCCTTGATTAAACATCAACAGTCTAAGTTTTTGGACTTGATTGATTTTGACCTGATCGATGTAACTGCAATCAGAAGTCCCCCATGTCACTCTGTGTATGGTAATCAATCTATGAATAATGGGAGGCCATTTTTGTCCATTTAGTAATCGACAGCAGCATGCATACTTTATGTGCAAATGCAGTTTCTCTGTATTTTTACAACTAGTTGGATATACATGTATGTGGGCAGCATTGTTGTTTTCAGTTTATATTCACACTGATTTATGTTTGCATAGTGTTGTTAGATAGATCTTAAATAGAAACTGTTATTGCTGGGTCATAATTGTCAGCATATTGTACGTTATCGATGTCTTTGTTGTGTTATTTGGGGTAAAAAAAAAAATTGTGAAAATGTGTTGGTGACAAATCAGTTTACAATTATTTGCATAATTCGGTTGAACAGTTTTTAAAGAGCCCATATTATGCCCTTTTTGGGGTTCATATAATTAATCTATGTACCTACTAAAGTATGTTCACAATAGCTAAAGTTCTAAAAAGTGTCTGTTTTTATATGTACTGCCGCTCCATGCACCGGCTCGCTTCTGACTCTCTCTAAGGCTCTGAAGTGCCCACGTTCAGAGTCCCCACGTGTGTCAAGTCTGATCTGATTGGTCGGCCTGTTGGCTCTGCCGGAATTGGTCAGTCGCTCAGCACGGTTCTCGAAAATGTCACTCCCCTTTTACCATATTGGGAATGCAGCCACTTCGGCTCCGAGGGCCGAGCAAAAACATTAGCACTACTGTGCTATCGCAGGCTACGGCATATCATGGGCGTGCTACAGAAGTTAACATGAACATAGATCAGTGATATCACACAGACAAGAGGTCACACTGGCAATTTTTTTTTTCGAGGGGGGCTAGAACCGAGCGTTACATGCAGCTAATGCTGCAGCTAACAGGAGGATGTAGGAGAAGACGCTTTTCTGCGGACTTTGAATTTTTGCACATAGATGTGCCTAAACATGCACAGGACACATGGAAAACACACTAAAGAGCATATAAAACCAGAAAAAGCATAATATGACCCTTTAAAGCTGCCATGATCTACACAACGTAGACACAGATTTAGGTTGTGATTTGATTTATCGAAAGATTCAGAAAGGTTTAATTAAATTGTGATTTAATGGAAATGACACAGTAAGCAAAAGGTAGCATTCAGACACTGACGGTTGATTTCTATTTCATTTGAGTGCATATAAATTATATATAAGTTAGTTGGAAGTGGATATTTATGATATTTAAAACAATCTACTAAGCATAAAATAGCAAACAGTATGTTGAAATTAATTAAATTAATTTAACACAGACCCTCTCAGCTTTCAAATGAACCCAGAGTATCTATAAAGTCTGTCAAATGGTTGATATCATTTAAAATGCAACATTTGGAAGTGGACTCAAATATTTCTCCAGGTGTGACATGTTAGGAGATATACTGCTCCCCCCACTATGGGTTCAAGGTGCTGAAGCTCACCCATCTGCTGCACCTCATTAAGCAGCTACTGACAGTCCACATCTATTACCATAAAAGATCTACACAGCTGCTATAAGGAATATCTGGGGCTCCCACATCAATGACAAAGACAGCAGCAGATGCACCACAGCAAGCTTGTGGCAGAGGACTGTTGATCTCAGGTGTAGGTCTTCTTGTCTTTACCAGCGCAGTGCCATGCAACAGGTTTTGGTTAAGTGCTCTGAAGCAGCTGCGAAGTTGTAAATAAGCAAATAAATGCTGCGATCAGCCTTAATTGGCACGCAGAGGGGTATTTGTTGGAGGTAAATAGCAACAAGAATAAATCGTTGAATTCAAAAGCTTGTTATACCATTAGCTTAGCTTAGCTACTAAAGCTCACTATATGAAGTAGCTCTATGGTATTTATTTAACTTGTACTCAAACCAATAATAGAAAAACGTTCTTTGCAAATAACCGCTCGACAAAGAGGTGCAGGCCAGGTGGATGAACAAGGATTTAATGCTTAATAGTTAGCAAGATACAAAATGTAATGGGACAGGTGACAGAATGACATTCAACATAAAGGAGGGGCCTTGTTTTGTTTCTCTGATAAAAAGAAGCCATTCATAGATTACTGTTATTTATTCAACAATCTTAACTAGGGGTGTAACGGTACACAAAAATTTAGGTTCGGTGCGGTTCCAAGTTTTGAAGCTTCTTTTCGGTACAGTAAAGGGACCTGATGCAACACTTTTTTTTCTTTATTAGGAATATTTAGAATTTACCATTTACACATTGGGCTAAGTGCAGCATTGACTGTTCACACTTGTACACCTGCTCAGGTTACTTTTTTGAATGCCGTTTGAGCACATAAATAAATAAAATAAACCTAATCACATCTGGGACAGTATAGTTTCATTGCAGAACTATTCATATTTCCCTCTGTCGATATAAGAACTTCAGCAGCATTTGTTATGGCTTTGGCCCGTTCAGAATTACTAGCAAAAGTCTGTCTGTTGCGGAGGGAGGGTGTTCATTCTATCATGCTGCAGGTTATGCTTCCACACTTACATGCAGCAGCGCTGTTGGAGCGGGACCATCGCTGAAAATGAAAACAAAACTTGAGAGTCAGGCCGTAAAAAAGAACTCCATCCTGGTTAGATGCAACTGTCCAAACCGACAGGGCTCGAGGAACTAGTAATCTGCACAGTTTATGTTTGAACTTTTTAACAATTTACTAACTAAAAGTTGTCCCATACCAGCAGCCTTCCTTCACACTGAGGTGTGCTGCCGCTTTACAGTCCGTGTGGGAACACAGATTAAAGCACTTCTGTTCTGTGCGTACCAAAATGGTCCGGTCCGAGTACGTGTACCTTTACACCCCTAATCTTAACTCTGAGTGGCTGTCTCATAAAGGTGCTCATAGGGTGCTGCCTAGTTAAGTAGTCTAAGTTATTGACTTGCCACAAATGTTAGCAGTTTCTTCCTCATCCCTGTGTGTCACAAAGAAACTATCGTTAGCTTTTGGTAGCAAGTGGAAACTGTTTAACGTCACTCTCAATGATGGTAAAGAAAACAGATTCTGGACCTGCTGTTTATCTGTAGTGCTTTCATGTCTCAATCAGCAGGCCTTGATGTTTTAGTTAAAAAATTTTATAAAAGAAATCCAAATTGTAACAGTCCAGTGGGGGGAAATTTGGGCTGTTGGACTCTTTGGCTAGTCATGCACTAATGGAACCCTTCAACAAAATGTCACATTTTCCAACAGGTTAAAAAATAAGATTAGGTAGTGCGTAAATATATGTGGTGCTTTTGGACTGAACTGCATTCAACACAGTTTTATCTTGTCTGGACAAAAAACCCAAATCACCTCACTGTTTAATCAAAACTGAACATATACGTTGAAGGTAACTGTGACCTCTGTTGCACCTACATATTATATGTTTCACTTTGGTAACACAGAGGGCTTTATGGATTTAGAAAAGCAGATTATATTGAACACAGCTTCAGATAAATGTGTTTGACATAAACGGCCCAGCAACTCTTCAACGCCTGTGTAAGGCTTATATGTGTGTGCCATAACCCACAAACTGATTCTCTCTGTGTGTGTATGTGTTTGTTTTTGTGTGTTGTTCAGGTATGTTTAAGTATCCTCAACACGTGGCACGGGAGACCAGAGGAGAAATGGAACCCACAGACCTCAAGCTTTTTACAGGTGAGGTGAAGATCCATCACGACAGTCACCTGTCTGCGTGGATCAGCGGGGCTGTCGTCTGAGTCTTTGTGTCACAGGCTATAGTTTATCACTGCCCTGTCATTACCCCGCCCGGGGGCTCTGTATTAATGGGCTTGGTGTTTTGACAGCTGACATGAAGGATCCTTTTTAAAGTCAAGTTATTACTTTGCTTGGGTGACAGTGTGTGGGTGTTAATCAAAGCAAACACAAACTGGTATCATTTGAACCTCCAGGTTATGCCTGCTTACACTCATCACTCACGCTGGAGTCAGAATCAGTTGGCTTCAATTGTTTGTTTAGACCAGACGCCATCTGTTTGTAGCCTCGATTCAGAAGACTGACATCACTTTTTATGCTGAAAGATCTCAGTTTGTAGTCCTGTCCCTAATAAGGTTAACACAATTTCTGTTTTATTACATTTTTGTCCTTTTCTTTCAATTGTGCATGTCAAAGAAAAGCCTCACACTCACAGTTATCTCATTGTTACTTCATAGTTACTTCATAGCTGGGGTGGCAACATTTTTACATGCATTCCTGCTTTTATATATGCTGAGTGTAGCTACAGTTTTTCAATAAGAATTAAGGGGTTAGGGAATTTCTTTGCTCATGATGTGTTTTGAAAACACAGTGTTTTACCTATGTTTTTATCATCTGAGGCCTGAGGCTTAAAATGTGTTCAATACGTGGTGTATAGCATTGAGGGACTGCTTTTCATTGAAACTGGTGCCAAGGCTTATGGATAGAAAAACAAAATCTTGAACACAGCACATTGCCATACACCTAGCATTCATTTTCCATACATATTGATCCAACAATAAGCAAGCCAGAGCCACTGGAAATGGATTTCTCTTTCCCTTTTTTTTCTCATAATTTCCTCATTTGCAGGATTAGAGAGTGCATAGAGATGTCTCCATTGATTATCATTCCAGTTAGTGTGCTGCGGATCAATAATGGAAAATAAGGGGGGTTGGTGAGTACAAGACGGGAAGGGCTGGAATCAAGCGGGCAGGGGGGGGATATCTGCTCTGAAAACTGGCAACCCAGTTTAAAACAGACAGACCAGTTGAAGGTCATTGGTCTCCTCTTGATGGAGTTCTTTCAAGTGCCCATCATCCAGCTCCAGTGTGTCTGGGGCCAGCAGGCAGGACTCCAAGCCCAAAATCGTCATTGTTGGTAAAGTAGTGTCTTAGAATGGACGGGATGATGCAGGAGGACGTTCTTGGTCTCCTTGAGACAGGCAACAGCATTAATCGAGCTGTTAATAAAGATATACTGGCGGATAAATCTTTATGGAGCCAAAACATTCCTTGCTTTTGTCTTACTCTCTTCTAAGTGTCCACTACTGCCAAGCCTATTTAAGAGGCTTTGGATGCTGAGGACAGTGAGGGAATGTGAGGTAATTTACCAATAGATCAGGATAATACCTTTAACTGCGTTAGAATGTGGTTCTCACCCCAGCCCTCCTGGAATCAGAAACATCACATCAATCAAGTGCTTTTCTTCTGAATGTTTTCGTCACTTTACGCCACTCCTCTTACTGATTTTTAGAATTTGTCTTTCTGTTATAGGTGCTAGTGTCAGTGCAGTCCCTCATTCTGGTGGCTGAGCCCTACTTCAATGAGCCAGGGTATGAACGCTCCCGCGGGACCCCCAGCGGCACCCAGAGCTCACGGGAATATGATGGCAACATCCGACAGGCCTCAGTCAAATGGGCCATGCTGGAGCAGATGCGCAACCCCTCTCCATGCTTCAAAGAGGTAGGAATCCTTTTAAAGATGCTCTGATACCCACTACTTTCTGGTGCCATTGTTTGTGTTGTGTGAAGTGCTGCCCTCTCATGAAGGACCTACAGTATAGGGCCTATGTCCAGTAGTGCTGTTTTTTGCACTTGCAGCCACATTTTCTGTACAAATCCAATGGAGTTGAGCATTAACAGTGCTCAGTGTCCTAAGCCGAAAATCGCTCTTGACGTCAGCTTGTTTGTTGTTGTTGCTGCACTCTCAGTTGAAAATTGTTCTAATTTTGGAACACTGCAGCGCTCGTCAAAATCTGGTTTCAACTTTGTCAACAACAATGGCAGAGGAAAAACAAATGCGCCCCATCAATTCAGAGGTACAGTTTCCAGTACTACTGTAGATCTGGCTGTTGATGAAGGATGAAGGATCAAAGTCAGTTAGTGAGCTAACGTAAGCAACAGCAAGACAACCCCAGTAGCCCCACCAAGGAGCCTCTGAGAAACATTGTTTTCAAACATGAAACATTCTTCAGTGGCTTTTTTTTAACCGGTTTTAATTCCAAAGTCCATTTGTCAGTCATGTCTCAGCGTTAGAATCAGTCGTCTTTGGATCAGAAGGATGGCGAGCCTTCAGGCCATATGTAGAAATGTCCTTGTGCAAGAAACTGAACCCCAAATAGCATAGACTCCTCTGCCATCAGTGTATGAAGGTGTTTGTAAATGGATGAATGAGATATGTAGTGTAAAAGCGCTTTGAGCGGTCAGAAGACCAGGAAAGTGCTAAACAAGTAGAGTGTAACTTAACATTTTATTTTTGAAGAAAGGAGAAATCTGTGGGAAATTTGTCTCCAAGTAAAAACTTAGTGAATGTTAAACATCAAAGATATCCTACCCTGATGTCAAGAATTCAGAGAAAGAAGAACATCTTAGAAACACACATTTTTAACTTAAAAACGTTTAAGGTTTTAATTGTAGTGTGGACTTTGACTTACATTTTTTGTCTTTTGAGTAAAAACCTTGTAATTCTACGCACACTGAAGGCTACTATTGAGACTCATTTTATTAAACCTGCACTGCTGTTGTTACTGCATTGTTATCTGTATTATTACACAGCCAAAAAGAAGGTGCAGAGATTTAAGTGACTGAAGGAAAATCAACTTATTGTCTGAATATAGTTGAAATAGAAGTGTAGCCTTACTATGAAAATTAAGAATGAGTGTGATGTGTAGTATAATTTTACAAAGTAATAAATACAAATCTGGCTGGCCTCTGCCCCTCCTTGACATTTCTCTAGCTTTGTCAGTCCAGAAACCAGGGAGGAGAAGGAAAGCCACGTGTCCTCCAATGTTGTTTGGGATGGCTGTCTGATAATAAATTCTCCTCTTATTAAATCCTCGGTAGATGACTTCGTCTGGAGGTTGGTTCGTCCCTCTCCCCCTCACCGTTTTTTGATTTCCTGTGATCCTTTAAATGGTCCATGCTGAGACGGATAGTGCTGGGGAAGATAACAATCTTTCAAGCTGCTCATCCACAGCAGGCTCATTCGGAAATGTCAAGAAAGAGGAACGGAGGAAGAGGGGCGCTTTGGAGAGGAAAATGAGAGAGGGGGAAGGGGCGGACAGAGGGAGAATAAGAAAAGTGATCCAATCTCTTTGACAGGAATACATGAGAAAAACATAGGTATTAGGAGGGGAATGAAAATGCTGTGGTGTCATGGTAACTGAAGGGACATTTGTGAAGCTAAGATTTCAGCTCACTGCCTATTGAGTTATTAATGCCTTATTGTTATTAATGAAAAATATACATTTTTATTTCATCCACCCAATAGTACAGTTTAAATTACAGTCCATGAATTCATCTTTAGACCTGTTTTACTGGTCTCATTTTGATCTAGTATCATTTGTATCATCATGTACCGAGCATAACCACAAACACAAAGAAAAAAAAGTGTCAGATATAATGAGCCAGTCTCTTATCATTTCATTTCTCCCAAGATGCTTTTCTTCACAACAGTCAGTTGGAGAGAAGTCAGACTACAAGTTAGAAAATAAATTAACAGTTAAAGGCAGGGTTGGTCATTTTCCCCAGATTCAGGTTGAAGTTGTCTTTAGGTCCTGACAGACATTAATAACTCATGTTCTCTGAAAAAGGAAGAAATCCGTCATCTGTAACAGTCTGTAAGTCTGTAAAAACTTCAACCAATGTCTTGCCATGAGGTACCAATCTGATGAACCAATCAGACGCCTCCCTGTCTCCCTGCTCGTTTCTACCCCTTGCGTGCACTAGCCCACAATCAAAGCGCGTCACCGATGACAGAGTTTATAGACTGAGGGAATGCTACTTTCAAAATGATGCTAGTTTTCGAATATTACCAACCCTGCCTTGTAAGTTTATATTCAGCAAACAGCCTTATTTGTCTAAAGATACAATGTGATTAAAAATGGCATTTTGTTCATTAGTACATCAGTAACGTTCCTTATAATGTAAATCTGATAGATTGTAGATGTGATAGTGTTGACAGTTGTGTTACATCAGGAGCTTAATAGTTTAACTCTGAAGCCCGTCTCTCTCAAGGACACTCTGACATGTAGACTGCAGGTGATGTGGAACAAACCCACGCTCTTTATTGGAAGACATCCCTCTCTACCTCTCAGCCACAGCTGCCCAAGCATAAGCGCTGCATACTTTCTCGTCTGTTTTTGGCAAAGAGCACAAAGGCTTTCTTCATGCTTGTCCGGTGACTGGTTTTGCTACTTGGCGTGCGAAGGGGCAGGTGTGCTATTTGGGTGAGCAGTTGCTTTGTGAGCCCATACATCTGATGCATCTCTCTGTTTCACAGGGTCCTTATTTTATTATTTACATTGTCTAAGTGGGTTATACGTTCCATTTTCATCAGTTGAAATTAGGGCTTCACAATAAATCGCAGTGTTATCCCAATATGAGCATTCGCAAAAAAAACTAATGGCAAAAATCTAAAATAATCGCAATAAAAAATAAGAATTATAATATTTAAACTCACAGTATGTAAATGTATGCTGCCAGGGAGCTCTCAATCGGGCGGGGGATGGTGGGAGTGATTCTCTCTGCTACTCCACCCCCACCCCCGATGAAAAGGAATTACTTGTTGATGGTAGTCAAGACGAGGAAGAGAATATGTTTACAGAGGATATATCCAAGTATAAATTACTTTAAGTTTTTGTCACAGCAGAGCATTCAGCAACAGTATGACAGCTTTAAGTATCAGTTCCCGCTGCCTTATGTAGCAGTCTTTCACGTTGCGTTTGTTGTTTCCATGGCAACAATCAACATGCACCGTGTGTCATTGTGTGTCTGTCATGGTGGCCGCTGAGACAAGACACTACAATTATACAATGAAGGATTTCTCTGGCTTTTATAAATGTTACATATTTGAGGTAATATAAGTACTCAACAACAAAAAAGTATATAACATAGGTTCCTTTTTTTATTCATTTAGATATTTTACTACAAAGAAAAATTTCCGCCCACAAAAAATATTTCTTATTCAGCATTTAACGTGTTGGAGAGGTGAAAAGTCATTATGCTTTCACTGCACTCAGATGAAGCTCAAGCTGTTACAGTCACGGAGAAACAAGGTAACTTTATCTGTATCAGCTACCCTCAGAATAATTGCTGCCAATTTTGTAGTAAGAAAACACTGTGCTTGGATTTATTTAGCTTCTGGAATAACATGTTGCAAACACAGGTATTGTGTAAAACACTGCAACAAATATGCACAGAAACTGTGAGTGACAGCCACTATGCACTCTGCTATATTGTTTATTTACTGAACTTCATTTTGCTGTTAAGATATTGAACAATCTAAGCACATATTTAAAAAAAAAAAAAAATGCATGTCTGGTCTGATTTTCTGTAGTTTTTCAAATTGCAGTATATATTATAGCAGAGACAGAAAATAAATCACAATTTAAAAAAATGTTTCCCAATATCGTGCAGCCCTAGTTGAGATCCTCAATGTTCCTGGTCTTGTTCAGTACTTTTGGCCCTACAGTGTTTTTGAGGTTCTTTATTTCCCTCTGTGTATTCTCAGCCAGTGCTGCTTGTATTTCTGTCAGCTTCTAAGGTGAAATATTATAATTCTTTCTTGCCTTTGCACAGCAGGCGATGCTAGGATTAAGGAGAGAAAAGAAACTGGGTTCATGACATCACCAGTCAGCCGGTGAAATGGACCGCTAGACCGAGAGATATTACAGGAATATAGTAGGACTTGGCAATGCCACACGGTTGAGCAACCTCACACATACGCACACAGAAATTCAATTAACCCTGGCAAGAAACTCTCATGTGAAACCACTGGTCTTTTAGCAATTTCAGACCTTAGCTGAAGAAAGTGTAAGCCGAAAAACAAAACCAGCCATTGCTGATAACCATTTAGACATGTAGAACTCTGCCATTGAATACCGTCCAATGTGTTGCTCTAATTTCATCTAATCATTTCTCAGATTTTTTGTCTTGAAGTTAAGAAATAAATCATTTCATGTTAGGAGTGTATAAACCATAAAATAGTTCTAACAATATTTCATGGCCTTTTAAGTGGTTTGTGTATCTTTTATTAGAAATAATGATGAAACTGGAATTTAACAGGTCAAACTACATATTACTACATACTAATTTAATATATGACAGCTTTTAAGTCAACCATGCATCCAGAGCTGTGAAGAAGGTGCCAAGGAAGTATACCATTTCTATTCACTCAGAGTGCTCGTCTAACTCAATGAGCATGACGCCAAACGTATTTGCGTCAGTGAATATTTTGAGATGTTTGGTTTAAGATAAGCAACATTCTATAAAAACACAAATCTTATTTATTATTTTATCTCATATAGTGTTAGCAAACTCATGGGCTACTTTCACATCTCCCTGCAGAGATGAGTCATTTGTAAGACCAGAGAGAAAGCATAGATAACCTGAGAAACTGTCAAATAAATACAGTCTGATGGTAGACGTTTCCTGAAAACATTACATATTGCTTGTTGAACATGAAGTATTTTGGCTTACATCTGCTTTCTTCACTGCCTGCTGACGTAGTTTAGTTCCTGCTGCAGCTGATACGTCTTGAGACTGACGCTGTCAAGTCTCTCACTTGCCTTAGCACGTCCTGTCACTCTTCCTGAAGTAGCGTCTTTAGCACTTTAAGTGTTGACACAGAAATGTGGCAGTTTAATGAGCGGGGATGAGAGACATCCTCTCAATGACCCCCTCTTGATGGTGGAGTGCAGGTTACATGTATGGTTCCCTACAACTGTCCCTCCAGATCTTTCAGAGTATCTTCCAGAACGACTGAAAATCAATAGAGTAGCTCTCAGCCTGTCTTAGAAGATGCCCTCCAAATGAACTAGGTGGTGTCTGTTGTCGGTTGTCTTGTATTTCTTTCTATTTTGCACAACAGAAACGTCCAGATCGTTGGCTGTCTGACACAGAGTGTTGGTCAGCCTTGCCCTGCATTGTCCAAATTTATGAAGAAAATAATGCTCCAAGGGCGATGACACTGTTTGTTTTAGAGTAAAGATCCTGAAATGGCAAAGCATATCAGCTTGAAGGATCACTGAATGCCCGTCATTTTGAAGCCGAACTATGGGAGTCGCCATATTGGAAATGCTGTCTCAGACTTACTTTCTGTCAGCCAAGAAACAGGCAAGGAGATTGAGCTGAGGTGGGCCTTAAGCCTCAAATTTTCCCTTTTGATTTGTTGCACCGAGCTGTAAGCATGTTTATTTCTGCTGTCTAAATGGGCATTTTAACATGGCTGCTGATGGGAGTTCCAGTCATTTTGGAACCTGCCTCAAGTGGACAAGTTACACTTTGCATTGGCCTTATTTTTCAACACCGGAGGTTGTAGCTTAGTGCTTACTTAGATAGCCAAAGAGCTTCAAGCAGTTTCAGACCCTCTCCAATAGAGTAGAGTTTGCATTTGGACCACGGAACTGTGGATTTTTTCTGAGCACAATTTCACAGTTTCCAAGTCCATAAAGTAATTTCTTTAAGTGCTCAGGTAAATATAGTTTGCAAGGTAGGAAGCTCCAAAGCAAGCTACTAATAGGATCTCAAGTTGAGTTTGTTATCTCCGACTTAGAAATGTTAAGACGGTAATGAAAGATTTAGCCTCAAGCATTCTCTAACGAGGCTCAGATTTTTCTTTGGCTGAGATCCTATCCCCTGTGACAAAACCAAAATCCATTAACTTTAGTTGTTTTACATCCCACAGATTTATTCTTACCTTGTGCCCCCTATTGTATATGCTTGGGCGGAGAACAATGTAATGTTTGTGTGCTTCAGGTGTAAAAAGTCATTTTTAGAATCAAGACTCAGATGAACCCAAAGGGCAGGTTAATTCTGATGATGTGCAGCAGCAGCCTTTTTTTAACTAATGAGAACATCAGATTAGTGGGATCCAATTGCATGGACACGGTTTTATTTTTGGTGTATGTGTGCAAAATTCAGTGCAACCACAAGTTATTTATAGAGGGAGAGCTGGAGAATAGAGTACAGGCCTGAATAATGCAGCAGCAGATTGTCAGGTGGAATTAAGGACAATTGGTTGCATGTTAAAATATGGATCATTGTGTGTGTGGGTGTTCCTGTATTTCTGTGTGTGAGAGGGACTGGGCGAGAGTTGACTTGTAAGTGTGCGTGTGCGTGTGCGTGTGCGTGTGTGTGTGTGTAAAAAGGTCTTTGGAGCCACTGAGAGGTGACACCTTTAACTAGTGCCACAGCATCTCAGTCCAACAGTGCAAACACTGCCCCCCACCCCCTCCTTAGGTTCTGCCCCATAGGGTGAGGGTCAAAGTCACGGACCCGACCGTCTGATTCATAGCTGAAAGGAAAGGGGGACACAGAACAGATTATGGTGTGCAAGTTGCATTGGAGGTTCAAGCAGATTCCATATATTCTTCATTTGACGTCTGGAGGCCGCGCTCATGCGGATTGAAAGCTGCACTCCATGAACCTTTCACGGCTGCAAGGAGGATATTGCCACTGAACAGTCTCAACATTTATCTCACAAGTTAATGTGTGCGGAAACACTAGTGACTCTCACACCAAATACTTCCCATTCACTGCCTTCAGCATTCCATAGAAACACTCTCACACACATCACAGATTGGTCGGATGCTACTTCAACAGGCAGTAGGATAGTTAGTACTCATTTGCTGAATTATTAATGATTTTAAGACATCGCTGTTTGTAACCTAGCTGCCAGACTCAGGTGTATCCCTGTCTTTAAGAGTGTGTGTATGTGTGTGTGAAATAGTAGATAAAAAGGCTTTTCAGCTTTACAGGCCCTCAAGAAAAGAAAACCACCAACACCTTTTAAATTACAGAAACCTGACTACTTTAGCCCGGCAAAACCTGGACTCCATCTACGGTAGTGCTTTGAGGAAATGTCTTAGCCAGGTTTAGTTCACACTGCAGACAAAAGTGACTCCATCACATTTTTTTTTGCTCTTATGTGACTAAGATTGGGCTTTTTTTAAGGCTGCCCTAGTCACATAAAAAACAATGTTTTCAAATCTGTTTTGGGACACTTTCATATGTGGTCTTAAATCAGATACAGGTTGGATCTTTTGCACATGCGAGACCTTCAACCGGAAGGTTGGGGGTTCGATCCCCAGCTCCTGCAGCACCTTTTGTCCCAGGGGAAAGACACTTACTGTAACCCAGAATTGCTCCTCTGCTTCGTCTGCAGCATATGAGCGTATATGAATGTATTAGATACTTCTGATGGTCACTTAACATAGCAGCCTCTGTCAGTGTGTGATTGTGTAGGTGTGAACTGCAGTGTAAAAGCACTTTGAGTAGTCAGAAGACTAGAAAATATATGTGTGTATATATATATAAGCTCAAGTCCATTTCCCATTTTCCACTGCAGAGTTGTGTTTTTGACAACTGTTAGAGGTACTTTTGGGCAAGAGGAGCAAGTGCAGGAATCAGTCTTTGTTTCTCGAGTTTGCCGATACTTTTATTATTGGATATAATTGAGAGCCCCAGCGGGCCACTAATCACAACCCAATAGGCAGAAAATCATTTGATTCCGATTAGCGCAGCTCTAATATTTAGATTTGATGAGTTCTTTGAGATCACTTCGTGTTTTGTGGTAGAAACATCTCTTATCTTTACATTAGAGGAGCTTCCTGGATCAGGAGTTCTTCTACTGTGGGAGTGGGTCAGGGCTGCAGAGTCAGGGTTAGTAGGACAGGAACTTGAGCCCTCAGCATATTACTGATAGAACACTAAGAATAAGGAACTTTCTAATGGCTGCATGATTCACATTTGCCCTTGACCTTTCTAGTGTCAGGCGTTTACACACACCCATTCCTGGTCTCTTTCTCCTCCGCCTGTGCCCTGTGGAATAATGAGTGGACAGCATTACCTCAAAGGTCACTGAGTTTATCTGGCAGCTGCGGCTCTCCATCAGAGGACCTGGTCTCTGACTGCACATATATGAGCTTAATGTTCTCTGTGTACATTTTTCCACGTACCTGTGAGTGTGTGTGTGAAGATAAAGATATGTATTTCCAGAAAGGTCATTTGTCAGGCTGGTCTAATCCAATGTTTGCATCATGATCACAGCTGGGTTGCATATAGAGCTTCCTCATGCGCTCTGATCGATAGCCACGTCCAAATGCCAAAAGTGAAACAGCTGCTGGCCCTCGACACATGAAGCCCTTTGGGAAATCGACCCTTTAAACCAGCACATATCTGATCATGTCCACACTGAATGTCAGACATGTGCATCTGTCTTTGTGTCTTATCATAGGATGTAAACACCCTTGTCTCTTGATTCCTGTGCCTTGTTTGAGCGCACTGTGTTTACTGCACATCTGTGACCTTGAGCCATTCCCTCTCCGCTGGGGATCTTCTCCCATCTCGTTGGGGGGGTTGGGTTGGGTTGAGTTGAGGAACAAAAGACAGAGGAAGAGATTAGAAGGAGTGGCAAAAATGGAATGAAGATGAAGAGAGCGGAGGGAGATGGAGAAGGAAGAGGGGGATTAAAGTGGTTCTGCTGCCTCTTTGCCTCTCCTCTCCTGGTAAACAGCAAATCAGCAGCTACCCTAATAACTAATCCACTCCCTCCACCAGCACAACAGCAGCGCTCACTGCATACTGATGGCTCGGCCCTGGCGACTGTTGCTAGGAAGTCGACCAGAGGGGCTATGAAAGCAGGGTACATAGGTGCAGATGATCGGCATCAGCCATCGCGCAGTGCTGTTCACATGATGTCAGAGTGACTGAAGCGCCCTTGATGATTATAAACAGCCCCATTGTTCATTTGTATGCTGTGTGTGGCCTGCGTTTCATTAGATACATTGTAGAGTGTAAATGGACCCTTCAAAGAGACCACCTGCTCTGTCAGGTTATCAGCAAGGGTGGTACACAGCTTGTGAAAAACGAGTTCTAAATTTGTGTTTAAGAGATGATCATCTGAATGATCATTTGAACGTTTTATACAGGGGATTGATTTAAGAGTGATGAAAGGCAGCATTAGCATCAAACAGATAATAAACTCTAATGTATGAACTCTTATTGTTTTGTATTTCAAGGTATGAAGTGTCTTTGTCTTTGGTTTTTGTATTTGCTTTAATCCTGTCGTGTCTTTGGTTTGCAGGTGATCCACAAACACTTCTACCTGAAGCGGACAGAGATCATGTCTCAGTGTGAGAGTGGATCGCAGACATCCAGCAGTACAGCAGCGACAAGAGGGTCGGCAGGACCATGTCCCATCACGCTGCTGCTCTTAAGGTCCAAATACTCACCAGTTTGAATATGATCTCTGAGAACGCGGCTCCGCATGCTCACTTTTGTAGAGATTGTGTGAATATCTGAACTGCTTAAAGGTCCCTGCTGGGAATCACACTGATGACACGATGGTTTCCACCTTAACCACTGAGCTTCAAAGTGCCCTGAAGCTGCTTGGTATAACCTCAAGGACCATTTGTTCATTGCTAAAGGGCTTCTTAGCATTGGTCATTTATACTGTGGACAGAAGAAGATATGCTTGCACACTCGCTCAACTGCCACATGTTCAAATCAAATGTTTTTGTTACATTTAAGCTCCAACTTTCCATGACCCCGCTTTGAAAAGCTCAGCTTTAGGTGTGGACTTCTGGTTTACTTGTCACTACCCAGCCAAGTTCTTAATCAGGAGGGAAATGCATCAATGTGTAGTCACTCTCTCGTCATTTTTGGCAAAAACAAACAAACAGATTGCATCAGCCAAAGCTCTAACTCAGTGCTACAAAATGAGATTCTTCAAATTGTTTGGCGATGTCAGTGTGGCTGTGCATCTTGTTTTCAGTCTTAACTACAAAGTTCATTGAAAAAGGACTAAGAGATAGGAAAAGATTTACAAATAGAGGTAACCAATGGGATTGGAGTGTTTTGTCAGTGTGTTGTGAAAAGTGATGGTAATGTTTAATGTTACTGAAACTGTGTGTGTGTGTGTGTGTGTGTGTCTCTGTGTGTGTCTCTGTGTGTGTCTCTGTGTGTGTGTCTCTGTGTCTGTGTCTCTGTGTCTGTCTGTCTGTGTCTACAGAGACACACGGCTCAGCTCAGAGAGGAGCTCCTGAAGCTCCCCTGCCCCGACGGTCTGGAGCCCGACGGCGACGAGTTCTCAGAGAGGAGCGCCTCCCTCATCCTCAAAGAGCTGCCCAATCAGGACGCAGAGAAGCCAGGCGGCAGTCAGGACAGCCACTGCAGCGAGGGCCAGCTATGAGTCCTCCCCGATCCACCTCCTCCCCTCCCAGCATCCCCAAACCCTCCCCCTCGACTCCTTCTGATTATTACTCTGTAAAGACTCGATGGCTTCAGAGCACAAGCCTCCACTTTGTCAATATTTGTATGTAAAGATCTAATAGCAGAATAAGAAGACGAGGGGACGTGGGGAAGCAGAACGTGATGAGATGAACTCTGAACTATGCTACACCCTTAATGACAACAGTCGACAAAAACTTTTATTTACCTGTAAAGGAGTGTAAACATTTTGTGCTTTTTTCCAATTGTGATATAACCACTGATTGGTATGTTATTAAACTTGTTTATGTATACATAATGGCAGAGGAAAATTACAGATTATATAAGGGAAACTACCTTTAGAAAGAATGTTTACTGAATGTTCATTTCTCTTTACTTTTTCTTTTTTTGTCGTTTGGACTGTTAGAGAGAGAACAGTTGTAACCAAGGATGTATTGGTTATTCTTTAAGGATGCTATTTCAAAAACACACACACAGGTAACCGAATCTGACATGAAAAGCCCCTCTGATCATCCGTTGCTTCATTTGATTTTTCTCGGATCATATCCACTTCAATAAAAGCTGAGTCGGACGTTCTTAAATGCTATGTTATCCCCTTTTAAAGGCTCCAAATTAAAAATCATCATGCTCTGGATTAACAGTTTGTCGCCTCTCAGAACTTCTCCATGACCGTCTCCATTGATTGACATGACTGTAGATCGTAAGACTGTGTGTCAGAGCCTCATGGGAAATGTATTTTGAAGGCTTGTGCATGTGTACGTGTGTTTCTGTGCGTGTGCAACAATCCCAAGTGAGATACAAAGCTGTGATGTGCCTTTGATCTACACCACACCACCAAATACTCCAACAGAGTACCTTTACTGATTTACTTTGCTATTTCTACAAAATTAATAATTCTGCTCCGTCTGACATTAATACTGCTTTGATCTTTTTTTTTTTATTATGTTGAACTCAAGTGAACAAAAAAAATGCACTTTCTATTTTACTCACTCCTTAGAACAGTCACATTCTCCTTTTGCTAGGACATTAAATGGAGCTTGAAAGTATGGATTGATTGTGCAAATGCTTCTTTTCTGCATTTAAAAACACATCAAACACAGCTCATAGGAAGAAATGAGAGGTAATGGCACCAAATACCTGAGCTAAATAGAAAACAAGAAATACATGTATTGGTTTCAAAGTATTGGGAGTAATGTTCTGGTGGATCTGCTTTTCTTCAATCTTTTACTAAAAAAAGTTAGGACTTCAACCGCAGAAGTTTTCTCAAAGAAATCCTTAAAACATCTTAAATTCAGCTGTAGTTCTAAGAGCCCTACAACCCTGCTTCACTTACTTTATATCACATCTGTGACAAAACAACAAGGGCCCGATCGTTCACAAGGTTGATTCTGGATTTTTTTTTTTTTTTATATATATACCAAGGATGGTATCCAGCTCACTATAATCCAAATGTTTGGGGGTTTATTTCCTCTTAAAAAAAAAAAGAAACTGGATTGGCAGACCTGATCCAGACTTTAAGGATTAACACATCTGGATAACAAGTGCTTTAATAAGTACTTAAACTACTACATTTTTTTGTCCACAGGGGGCACAATAATCCACACAAACTGAAAGCTCCTCACAGCTGCTTAAATTAAATATTTAATGTTTTACACTGATGCCATTTATTGAAAAATTGTTTTTATAACAACCCTGATGTGGACCTTATCTACTTTGTTACTGAAGCAAAACATCATTCTATTGCAAAATATTTTTTTAAATGTCTTAAAACTTTTAAAAAATGATGAATTGATGGACTTATTTCGTAGGTGTTTTTTTTTTTACATTTCCCCCCTTTAATCCAGTTTAAATCAGCCCTCTGCTGGGATCAGGATGATGTTTTTTTTGGATGACGTAATCGTATACCCAAAGTTTTAGTAAAGTTGTATCCAGATAAATACCAGGATTGGATGTCTTTATTTTATCCAATTACATAAACCCTTTTAATCTATTAAATAACAGATGACATGATTTGATACAATCAGATTGCTTGATTCCCGTTGGATTTCTTCTGAACAACCAGGTCCAGGATGTACTCGCATATTTGCCAGTGTGCGAGCCAAGAAACTTTTGGATTTACGTGACCAATATAGGTCACTTCCACTGAACCTACGAGAGACCTCGGACAGATGTGTGATGGATGTGAGAGCCACATGAGTGAAGAGGATCAAAGTCCAAATCTCAATGGTATGAACAAAAGTCCCTTTCATGCATATAACTAAATGCAGAGTAAACCTATAACATACTGTAAAAAGAAGAAAATAAATGTTGGTATAATTTCAGCCTTTTGAGAAATACAGAATTCAAAAATATAAAAACTATAAAGAAATGTAATGAGTACACCAAGGGAAAAATGTGAACTCTTATTTTTAGGAAGTGTTTTTAATGAAAGTATGTATTAAATATTTGAGTTGAGATTATCATATTTGTCATCTACATTTAAAGGAAATTCCTCAATCCAAATCATCTTTCAACCCCAGTGGAGACTGAACTGTATGCAGAATCGATATGAATTACTCTTTAGATTTCTTTTAGTCCGCCTAGTTTGTGCGCCAAATGTACCGAGGCTATAGTCCTCAAAGCGGGCAACCCGGGTTCGAATCCAACCTGTCGCTCCTTTGCTGCATGCCATTCTCCACTTCACAACTCTATCCACTGTCCTGTCTCTTAAATGAAGGCATAAAAAGCCCAAAGCAGGTCACACCTACACATTCACACACTGATGGTAGAGGCTGCTTTGTAAAGTGTCCATCAGTATTAACATATCTCATTCACCCGCCGCCATCAAAACAGCTCTGGGTTAAGTGTCTTGCCCAAGAACACATTGAACTTGTGGCTGCAGGAGCTGGGGATCGAACCCCCAACCTTCCAGTAAGGTGACCACCGACTGAGTCACAGCCAGATAGAGTGGATAGAGTTGTGAAGCCAGAGCTATCAAAAATTGACAAAATAATTTTTTAGAGACTGTGATTATTTAAACTCCTTGCATGAATCTCTGTTTTTTAATTAAAGTATTTCTGATCCTTTATTTGTTGGTAGTTTTAAGCATAATGTATTATTTGCATTTCTCAGAGTGAGTGGATTCTAGCAGTAAAAATTCCCATCGACAGGGCGCTGGTAGCCTTAGTGCGTGAATATGTGCCCATAAAATATTTTTAAATATCAGGATTTTCTACAATATCTTCAACTTGGATTGAATATTCATTATTGTTCTTTTTCTTGCTTCCCTGTGGCTCAGTGGTAGAGTTGGTGTGTCTGAATTGCAAGGATAGCATCTGTTTGATCTGCAGTTCCTGCAGACCAGGAATCGAAGTGTCCTTGCAAACATCACCAAATTGCTCTTCCTGGCATTCACATTGACGTGTGATTGCACGCATTGATAGCACACAAGGTAAAGAAGAGTCCATGTTCGTCATGGCTCTGACATCATGGCTGCCTCACCTGCCTCACTCCACAGAGACTAAGCTTCCCAGTGTCACAGAGCTGCCTCGAGCCGTGTCAGGTTAATATTTATCACCACATTCATTTTGGTTTCTAATCTGTGCCTGTGTTTTTGTGACCTCGACCATTTGTCAATCGATCAGTCTTTCTTTTTGGGCTAGAGGGCCAATTCATAACAAATGTTATCTCAAGACACTTTACAAAACAGCAGGTATTGTTATATTATCTACAAAGACCCAACACTGATCTATCATGAGCACTAAGCTACATTTAGCAAAGTTACAGTGGCAAGGAAAGACTTCCTTTAAGAGACAGAAACTTGAGCAGAACCAGAGTCAGGATGAGCAGCCTTCTGCCAAAAGCTTCACACCTTCCTGATAAGTTTGACAGTATGCCAGGCGCCTGTCCTGTGTAACAGACTGTTTTCATGGCAACAAAGTTCATACTTGTCCAGGAGATCCATCTCCATGACAACTGAGCAAATCATCCATTTGATGAAAACCACCCGATACAATTTAAAGCGCCAGATACATTTACTACATTTTCCTCTCAGTTGGATTTACAGTGTTTGTACAAACTGAATCATATAACAGCTGTGTGTTTGATGATTTGGTGATTGAAACTAGCCACTCGTGACTGTATTGCTGCCTGGGCACAGTCAGGGTTCAGCAATGTTTAGCCTCTCGTATTATAAAAGCTTAAACTTGTACTTTTATAAGATAGCACTTTTTTCATGTACTAGGTATTAGGTTGGCCTGTACTGTTGTTCTCCGTATTGTGTCCATACCATGTTTATGTACCTCCTGTCCTTTACAACACCACTCAAATGTCTGTAAAGCTGAACTTGATTCTCCAGAGTGGAAATCTTGACTGAGTCTAAGTGATTTAGAGAGCTCTGTGCTCTGTGATCTTAAAGGTCAAATTACATGTCAGAGCACAACGCACTTCATGAATATAAAAGAACCTTAAGGACTATTTGGATCTCAGAGTGGGAGAGAATAGTAATGAGACATAATACCAGGGAAGGGATTCTGATGAAGCTTTGATTAAAGTCTCCAGGATCACAGTGAGCTCCATAGAAGAATTTAGGAACACCATCACTAAGGTTAAAATCAAACCTCATGATGTACTGGCTGTGGGCTTTGTGGTCTGACATCATAGAGCAGCTGGATTTATTAGTAGAAGGTGAACTCTAAAACATAAAAGATGACTTTACTTGATATTTCTATTCTTAGTATGGCGGGCAACACTCTCGCAAATAATGGGTCCGTTATTGTTTATAATATATTTCGAACCGAAAGCTGTTGCTGTTAGATCTGGTCCAAGATGTGTTGGGTTAGGTCAGCTGGAAGAGAAGCCATGTTGTTCCTGTATGCAGATGACATTCAGCACTATGATGTAGTTTTTTTCCCCCCCAGAATAAATGTGCAGTATGGGAAACTTGTCATGAAAGAATTCAGTTCACTACAATTTAGATGGTTAGAGACATGAATGTTATATGGGAGAAACTTTGCAGAGAACATTTAATCATCCTTAATATTACCATAACTTCAACCGATCAATACTTATTAAAGGCTTTCTATGTGATTTTTCACACTTAAATGTAGCAGAAATCAAGTATATCCTCTGAAAATAACTCTGTGAGTCATGACTGTCTACAATGGGTGTAACACCCGAGTCCCACTGTCTGTGATGTTTTCAGAGTTTTCAGAGTCCTATCTTCAGTTTGTTTACATCGCAGGCCGGCTGACTCCTCCCCTCGTGTATAAAAGTTGTTTAATTGAGGGACTAGAGAAAAGAAGAATAACATACTGTACTCACTGCTTAACTGTGTTTCTAGATCACGCTCATTTCAGCTAAATTTACATGCAGTGTGAAGATACCAGCATAATAAAGATCGCTAGCATTAGCATGCTAACACAACAATGCAGCGCGAGTTGTTTTGGTTTCATGCTGGTGCTCAAGGGCGACATCTGCTGGATCAAAAAATCACATATAAAGCCTTTAAGACAAATAAAACCCATACAGTTGAGTTTATAGAGAAATATGAGCTTCTTGGAATCAAGTGAGACACAATTTAATTCCCAGACAACTGCACTGATATATTTTTATTTACGAAGCGTTACTGGGAAAACTACCATCTTACCTCTAACTGTTTTTATTTCAGCTCTACTAGTTACCAGTAATGATCTTCTCATTTGTTCTTCTGCCCTGAGTTGTAACAGATCTGCATTCCTTTCCTTTAATGCAACATTATCTTCTTCTTTGTCATCTCTCAACTGGAAGGTCCGGGGTTCGATCCCCAACTCTTGCAGACACATCCTTGGGCAAGAGACTTAACCTAAAGTTTCTCCCGCTGCTTCGTCTGCACTGCAGTGTGTGAATGTGTATGAATGTATCAGTTACTTCTGATGGACACTTTACATAGCAGTCTCTACCGTCAGTGTGTGAATGTGTAGGTGTGACCTGTGGTGTAAAAGAGCATTGAGTAAGAAGACTAGAAAATAAATATACAAGCTCAAGTCCATTTACTATAGGGCATGGAATGATCTGCAAAAAGAGCTAAAA